TGACCATTGGGATTATTTGTTTAGAGGTAATTTTTGAGATTATCCACTTAGTCATGAGGAAATAGGCCTAGAGACTATAATTGGCCTAGAGAATATGATTAGCCAAGAGGCTATAATAGGCCTAAAAATTATAAAAGATTAAAAGAGTATGATCAAGCTAAGACTCTTATTTGTTATCTTAGGCTATATAATCATGCTAAATCATTAAGCAAAAATGATAGGCCTCCTAAGGATATATAACCTATAACTAGGCACGTTGAGGTAGAATGGTTAGATAAAAAAAAACTACCTAGCGTTTGTGTTATAATCAGAGCCCAATGAAGAAGGGGCATTCAGCTGAATGCTCCTCTTTTTCATAAAATTGACACTTGATTAGTTGGAGTTTGCATTCTTCTTTGTTATGGTTTTCATTTTTGCATTTGGTACACCAAATTTTTTGTTTGAGATTGATTTGTAATTTAAGACTTCTTAATCATAGTTTTTTTTTCAAGTCATCAAAATTTGCATGACCTCTCTTTATCACATGAATACGATAAATTTTTTTGAGGCCTTGTATGTATAGACATAGATATGTTTTGTCTAACACTAAGTCTTTACAATACTTATAACATTATTGAATCAAGTTGTATATTCCTCAATTATTTCAAACTTTCGTTAATAAAACTTTTGCAACTCATTATAGTTTTCTTTTAGGTTTATTTTCATAGTGAAAGCTTTAAGGAAAAGCTTTGTCTACTCATCAAATATGCCAAGTTTTATGACATCATTATTATAATACTAGTCTTTGGCTTTGCTTTTAAGCATATAGGGAAAAAGATTCTTTTTTTGCCCATTTACTTGATTGAACTTAATTGCTTTTGTATATTGCTTAATATGCAATTATGGGTCCTCTCCTTTGATTCTAAGAAAGGATGAATATGTAATGACAGTGCATATTATCATTCTTGTAATTGTTATCATGCTCATTGCAAGTTAACAGGAAATGCTCTATTTTGCAACTAGTATAGACAAAACAAATATTTAGTTCATAGGGGAATATAGATCACTATCAAAGGGAAAAAGTTGTAAATTTAGTTATTCTTCCTCTTGTGGGGAATCACTCTAATTGTTTTGTATTTCACTACTTTCAGCTGAAGTAGAGGCATTTTCTATGTGTTGATAGTGCCAAGGAGGAATAGTATGTGAATTTATGTATTCTAGATGACCGTCAAAGTTATATTAAGATTTCTGATCTCCTCTTCGTTGAAATGTACTTAATATGCTTTTAGCTCACTCTCTTTCAAGTTTTTCTCTAACTTGGTTGAGTAATGATTTAATATGTTCTGAAGGGGGGGGTTAAGATTGCAAATATCATGAGCAAGTGCTTTATAATCTCATTTTAAATCTTATGAATACTTCTTTTCAAAATGTCTTTTGCTCATCAGATTATGAAGGAAATATTATATATCTATTACCTTTTTTGGTATAAACAATGACAATTTTATGCATAAAAACTATGCCCTTTAAAGATTTATAAATAAAATCAATTGTTAGTTTATACCTATATATTTGGAGGTCTATTGGTGTTGCTACTTGGTAAGCCTAGTTATTATTCCTCGTTCGTGGAATGAGTGATAAGGTTTTAGTATGCAATGTATTCCCCTTGTAAATTGACTTATTAATCACTCTTAGAAGCAAACATTTAGCTTCCCAATCAATTTTGGAATGAGAATGGCTTTCTTCTAGAAGCCAAATGTTTAGGACATTTTTTATATTGAAATCCCAAAAATTTCTCGAGGAACAAATGTTGTTTTTCATAGTGTATCTATCTTGCTCATGTGTGTTCCACCTTAAAAGATTTTTACTCCATAAAATTTTATTGCCTATCAATCCAAATTAAGAATTGATTCAACATCTATTAGCCCAATTATCATCAAGTGTATTTCTACCTATGGGTGTCTAAACTTTATTATGAACCGTTAAAGTTCCCACAATAGCTTTTTTTGCCTAAGATTGCATAAAATTTTAGTAATTGTCTAGTAGGTAGAATTTTATAAATCCTTTGCAAATTATAATACCTAGGATTTGCATTTAGCTCGGATAGGCAAATTATCTCTCTGTCTAAGAAGAATTTTGGTATTATTTTCTTTTTGTATAGGTAACTCCACAGATATAAGTCTCGTTTACACACTTACAAAGTAATCTAAGTGTATTATTACACCTTTAATAATAGTAAAAGTACTAGGAGTCAAACTTTTGTATACCTTAAGTAGAATATTGTCAAGTATTTCGCTCGGTAATTCATCGAGCTGTTTAAGCAATTTTGTTAAATTTATTATTCATTGGCCTAATTAGGTATACATGATAGTTTAGTTTTTGCTTTCTTATACTTTTGCTTAATCACACAAAGTGGGGATCAACCAACTTTTGTCTGGGTCTATAAGCAACATGTATCTTCTGATAAATGTGGTGGATCTCTGATAAACATTTTTATTTTGTCTACCCTAATTTCCTCATTCAACTTTTATCAAGACAATGGTAGGTTGTCAATCTTTAGCTTATAGGTTGTTCTGAAGTTCCATACTTTGAAGTGTGTGAATGATATATAACGCTTTTTGGGCAAAATGCAAAATCTTGATTATTTTGTTGATCATCTTTTTAATCATACTACACTGTTATAAGCATTGTTGAAGTCATTAATATCATCTTTCATTTAGTTTGAGGATTAAGAATTAGCATTTATCTGATATTTGTCTTGGGGTGTATTGATATAGAAAAGTATGAGTGTGTTTAGTTAGCAGTATCTTATTGCATACATCAGTTGTACATTATAATTAGTAAAGATGAACCACTCCACAACATAGGAGTGTTTAGCAATAGTTTGGCATTTCAAAAAGTTTCATGTATATTTACATGGTTCTTATACATTACTAAAAGGTGATTATATTATAGTTGCATTATTATTGAAGTACAAAAACTTGGTTGGTTTTATTGTTTGGTGAACTCTAAAGTTTCAAATATATATTGAGATTGTTCATCACTTGGGGAGTTCTATACTTAATGTTAATACTCTTTCTTGAGTTCCTCTCCCTTCTTCACTTTGTTCACTTGTTTTTTATTAAATTATTATTCTAGTATCCATGGATTTTCTAGATGAGGATTCTGTGCTATTGATTACTATACTTAATATTTAGTGTCCACAAGGTGCGGCACAAAATTTATCTTCTCTTGATAAAGCTTATGAAACTCAAAAACTTGAGTTGTGAATTTAAAAGCTTTGTGATGGGTTTGAGAATCCTATATTAATTATTAATGACTTGCCATTTATATTCTTAATATTCATCTTGAGTACGAACTTCTTTATTTTATGAGGACTGATTATGATAATCATTTATGGCTAGTGGTGCCTTTAGTTTTTATTCCACTCTTTCTCCACACCTATCATGACTCTTATATTCTAGATGGGTATATATAGCATCGTTACTAAGAAGTTGTATAAGTCTTTTAATTGGCCAAAGATGTGACATGATGTTATTCAATATATGTGTAGATGTGCCAAGTTTCCCCCTCATATTGTGGAAGGACGATTGGAGTTAATTACAATTTCCCATTTATTTGAGTTGGTGGTGTTAAATTTAATAAGGTATTTTCCATGGTTGACTATTGAGAATGAGTATGTCATTATCTCTTTGACTACTTGACTCATTGGTGGAAACTAGTGCTCTTGTTAGTGCATTTGCAACTACTATTAGATACTTTCTCCTCAATCGAGTGATGTTCTAATATTCTTCCCTAGAATGGATTTTGTTAGTTAATAATCTTCTATTTATAGCTGAGGTATTTCACATTTTAACATTTTGGTTGAGGATACACTACACTTTCACTAGTATTTATCATTCACAAATAGATGGTTTGGTAGAACAGTTCATTCAAACCTTCAAAATGATGATTGCAAAGTACATGAATTTTCAACATTCAAATTAGGATATTATTTATTATCTCTTTAGTATACATGTCACAAGATACAAAGTTTCATAAGTGTTTCACCATATATAATCATAATCCAATATTGTCAATAAAATTGAGTTTACCCTTGTTTGGGTGGCCATTCTCTTATACATCCCCACATTTCCATACACTTTGGATAAGTAGATTCAAATCTGCCAATAAAGTATAAACTCACTCTCATATTCCCACACTTCAAGGATTGTTACAAAAATGGAGAGAGATGGTCCCCCAAGTTACCCACTCGACCCTATGCCTGCTCCTTGCAACCTCACAAGCACAAGATCCTGTGGGCAATGATAGAGCCCTTGCCCTACTTATCATGTGGTTTCGAGCTGCTCCAGGGCCATTGATCCAAGCTCAAACATTCAAGCATGCATATCATGTTTGAATTGACTTCATCAACTAAACGGTCAAAGGAGTCCTTTGTAATGTAATGTGGCTGTAGTTAGTGGTGAGATTCCATGTTGTGGCTGTGGAGATCCCAGTAGCCACAATTGCATTCTTTTTTGGTAAGCTTGTTGAAGTTTTAGTTTGACTTTATTTGCATGCTTCAGTCGAATTAATACATTTCGAGAAACACTGGATACAACGGAGGCATGGCTGTTCTGCTACATTCATTGAACTCATCCAGAAGCACTGAAGAAGTACCTTTCTCCAAGTAGAGTGGGATGTGATCAAAACCAACATCTTGTTTGTTGGAGAAAAACCTCCCTGTTGTAGATTCGGAGGCTGGAAGCAATGCCAGCCAAATAGCTGTTTCAGCCCCGGCTTGAGCCGAATGACCATTATTCCTCGACATATCGGTGCTCGTCAGCCCTGGACACATGCAATTCACAAAGATTTTACAACCTTGTTTGGGGAGATTCCATGCCATCGCTCTTGAGTAAGCATTGATAAGGAGTTTAGATAAGCAATAGTCGTATGCTCCAAAGATCCCAGACCACCCTTTTTCTCTAAGTTGGCCATGCTCCACGTCCTCGATGAACTCCTCTGCCACTTTGTACAAAGTTTTGACTGAGAGCTTGTCAATGTTAGAAATCTTTTGTACCACGGCTTGGTTTCGAAGAGACTTTTAAGCACCGAGAGTTTATAGCTAAATCCAGAAGAGACTTACATCCATTCGGCTTGTTGCTGAACTCACATTGGTGATGCGAGACCCATGGGGAGATTGTGATCTTAAGAAAGGGAGCAAGCACTCGATCACCATCCTCGTTCCGTAGTAGTTCGTGCTGATAACATCCTTGGAACTCTCCACTGTTGGATTTCCCAAGTGATCATTTCTTGAGATTCCAGCATTGTTAACCTTTATAACATAGATTCATTAATTATTGCCAGAATTCAGGGGAGAACTCAAACATACCAATATGTCGACGCCATTGAACTTAGTTTCGATCCATTTAGCAAAGTTTTGGATGGATGACGGGCTTCTCACGTCCAAGACATGGAAGTGAAGCGTTTCCGGATTGATCTTTTGATCCTTCTTGAGAGAATTTAGAGCCGCCAATCCCCTTTGCTCGTCTCTGGATGTCAGGATTGTAGTCACTCCCTTGAGTGCCAGGCCTTGAGCAATGGCAAATCCGAGCCCCTTATTGCTCCCAGTCACCACCGCAATTGTATCTTTGGACCACCATCTTGTTGTCCAGGAAAAGAGCATTGATTTACATGGAAGAGACTTGAGTCAAGCAAATGTAAGAAGTATTTCTCCAGAACACTTACTGCGAGTCCGCCATAGCTCAAGAAGGCAACAGTTGCACGCACGATTGAGATGTGATATTGTGGTGCTGGTCTTGTGCTTTTATTTGCGTGAAAGGACAGTGGGGTTATTGCTGGAAAAGAAAAGTCTTCTCGGGGATTTGTCGATTAGCAACTCAAACAAAGAATAAAGAAGCAGACTACAATTTTGTTTAGCACAAAATGGATGTGGCTGCTGGGATTCGAGCCCAGGTCTCCACGGCCACAACGTGGAATTCTCACCACTAAACTACAGCCACATTACTTGTTAAGTGGGTAAATAATTCCACTAGATTTATATTTATTTCCTGAGAAAAAAATTGATCTCCTTGCGTGAGAATGGTACCGGATTGTCAGCACAATCTCATCTTTTGTGGTCGATTGGACTGGAGATGTTGTCCTAGTTTGAGATTGGTCCTGGAAATGAACACGAAGAACGCCAAGGAGAAATAAGCAAGAAGCTTTCAGACGAAACATGGCATGAACTTCATGACCCCATCTTAGAGAACAGTGACATCTTGGACGCTTTGCGGAGCGTCTGCAGTGTCAACTGGGAAAAAAAGAGAGGAGTTCAGCATTGATAATAGTACTCCTAGATGTGAATAAAATGAGCCTTGTTATTGGAGGCTCCTCGGCTGTGCCACCATTACTTCTACGCTGTTTCCATCTGCAAATAAAGATCAACATGAGCCCGCAAAGGCAAAGGGTTGATCGAACATACCTCTCTGTACCCGGGGTTTCCTGTTCCGCATCCTGTTTTTTTTTTTTTTTTTTTCCTTCTCTCGTTTAGCTCTTCGTCATATGTAGCAAATCTCATTACTATTAGAGCTGCTTTCACGTCCTCCCTCAGCACCTGTAAAAAGAGAGACATGAAGTTATCATGTCATTCCCGAGGAAGAAACACCGTACTTGCCTTGAGCTTTGCGTGTGCGGTTGAAAGACGTATCATGGTCTCGAGCGTGATTGGCAAAGTGCCTCCTGACGGTGGGAGAAAACATGAGAGAGTGACCCCAGTTATTTACGTACCTCAGAGCTACGAGTTCCCATAATTGCGTAAGCCTTGATGATTTTGGTTGATGCCTGCAAAGCATGGGAATCAAAGCGCCAACGACGCGCGAGGGAGAAACTTACCTCTTCATTCACTTAGCTTTGGTTCGTTGCTACTCTTGGCATGATTTATGAACTTTTTAAAAAACTTATCGTTATTTGTAGACTTTTCGCGCGAAGTTCTTGTTTGCCCCGTGCAAGAAACGATTATACTTCACAAACATCGTAGTTCCTAATTCATGTTCATCGTTCTCGACATTTCCTATAGCGGGCAGACCTGAAAAGTCATTGTCACCATTCAAAAACATACTAGGCTCGCTATTTACCTCCATCTTCGCCGGGTGCTCGAAAACGGTGCATTCGCAGCACATGCTCAGAAATTTGGCGGTCAGTATCTGCATCCAATTGATCAAGAACAATAAACAATAAGTCGAATCGTGACAGAAGAGAGTCCGGAAGCCCTATATCTTTTGTTACAAGTTTTGTAGGAGTAAGTGATCGATCGTACTGGAACAAACATCAGTGATTGATTAGCGTTGCGTTCAAGACTTACAGTTCTGTAGATAGGATTCGCTGCAGCCACGACACTGCAACGGGCATACTGTTTGCTGTTCCATAACTTCGTGAATGGCAACGCGATCAATGTCGCTCATTTTGTCAAACTACAGACCACGCACCTGTCCACCAGCAGCATTGCTCCTTCTTCAAGACGTCTTTCACCTGAGGATGAAAAGAGTCAAGCCACAAGTGCATTAAAAGGCCTACCAGTTTCTTGAACAGATGTTACAGCAGCTGAGTCTTGCTCCAGACGATCCTTGGCTAGTAGTAGAAATTGCAAGCGGTACAACGCTCATAATTCCTGCGGCTTTGCAACGAGTGCAACAAAAGAATGTTGAAGAAACTGCATAGTGCTCCGTACGGGATGCTTTACTAGATTTTTCTCCAATCCAAGGTGAGTGTCCCCATATCAACTTTTGTGAAACCGCTCGTGAGAAGTTTACTATTGCAGAACCATCGTTATAGCAAATAACATTCCAATTTTCACAAATGAAGATTTCAAAAATATTTGGAGCATCGGAAACAGGGAGGATTCGTTTAATTTACTTGCTGAGATGGTCATTCCCTGATCAAGAAAGCCGTTGTCGGGAAAACACCGTTGATGCTGAAAGGCTGCATGTACTCGTTCCCTGCCACTCTCAAAATCACTGATTAAAAACCGTTCAAACTGCAATTCCGGAAGAACAGACCTTCGAGCAAGATCATTGTCACGGACATTCTCCACATAAGCGCATGCCCGGCCTGGCAATCACCCTCGCAGCAAAAAGAACTCACATCGTGGACGTCCTGGCAGAAAACCTAAGCCTAAGATTTGGCGGGAATATCCAAAGTTATTTGACAAGTTAAAAAGTTGGATCATTCTTTGTATTCGCCCCGCTGTTCTGATGTAATGCACCCATGGCAATGCTTGGTAGCCACTCTTCTCAATGATCTTCAAATTGCAAACCTGGAACCAATTAAAACAAATTCAAACTCAAATGAAAAGCCTTGGATCTTTTGAAGGAACGTACCAAACCAGGGCTTAATATTGGCCAACTACTAAAAAAACTTGACTAATAATTTTTTTTTTAGTGGTTTCATGACGATGAGTTTGTAAATTAAAGTTGTCATTTGAATACAAATAAAAAATCTAACTAGTAGCAGCTTTAAAGAGGCTCTAGTGTTAATTTAATGTTTTCCTGCAACAAAAACCTCACTCACATGAAGCAGTATTTGTAGGGACAACCATACAAAGTTGGAATAACTTAATCAAACCTGTAGTAACAAAGAATGAGCAAGAAAGAGTACAGGTGTCATAAGTATGCACTTTAAGAAATGTTGTTATACTTCAGTGAAAGACAGTGCCTAAAGTTGATTAGTATTTGATTAGTATTAGTTGATTTAGTATTAGTAAATATATTGACAAGAACATCTTAAAAGTATTAGTATTTCACTAATCAACTTTAGGCACTGTCCCAAACTACTTTAATTTGTGCACATTGACACTCTCCTCACCCACAAGGTTTGGCAAAGACAAACTCCTAGCTAACATGGTAACCAAACATGGTTTTAGAAATCCAAGGCTGAAATCTTATTCTTGATGGAATTCTCTACAATGTTCAGTATAGCTGATCCATGTCCATGGTGTGCAAATGTAGCTTGTGCAGGCTTGTTTAGTGTAGGGTATGTGCTGTGTAACTCAAACTCGGCTGTGACTATATAAAGAATAAATTACTGCACTATGCAACAATATCTGGGTTTGCTTTGGTTTTTCTTATGTAAAATTTTTTATCATAAATTACAAGATTACTATCTATCTGTAAGTGATGTTTTAATTTAACATATTAAAATCTTCCCATAATAAAGATCTAAATTACAGTGAAATTTCATATGTAAAGTATATAATTAATTTGGTGATTGAAGAAAATTTCCTCAAGAGAAAAAAGAGTAATGTGGTCCACTTTTAATATAATTTTTATAAAATAAACATTCTTACAATGTATTAGAAATTAATTGATGTTTTAAAGAATATTTTATATTATTATCTAGCAAGACATATGATATATACACTATATGTTACTAAATCATTTTTACATGATGTTTTAGTTCCAATTAGAATATGTTTCTAGTGATGCAGTTGAGTGTGAAAACCTCAAACATATGTCTTTGGTTACCCATATCTTTAATAAGCTCTTCAATAAATGATACAATTATGTTTTGCCAAATCCTGCTGGGAGTAAAACACTACCTTAAATATGGATTGGATTCAATCTAATCCATTCATTCTTGGATCTAAACAAATAAAAGTTTTATGTGAAATTAAGCTAAAGTTATTTAATAAAGGATACCAAAAGAGTTCCAGGTCTTGAACAAGCCTTGAACTATCTTCTTATCAAAGATTTGATACAGGAACAGTAAAGGTATTACCTTTTGCCTCTGTTGGAGTTAACAAAAACCCTATAAGTATATGCAGTAAAAAGAATGGTCCTAAGAGTTGCAAATATGACATTGCTCGTCAAAAACCTCCCCACACCCTAGTTAAATCCACATATCATGTATTTAAAATGTCAAGCTCAAAATCTGTTGCTACTCTTCAGCCTTAGTTTAAGCTTTCAAATTCCCACATTTCTGGAGGATTGCTACAAAATAGAAAGAAAGAAATGTGGTTGAGTTTCTTAGTTGATCCACTCAACCCAAATGCCTATTAGAGCTCCTTGCAACCTTGCAAGCATGCCCACTTGATTGTTAATTGATACAATGAAGCAGTATTCAGCTAAATTGACCTGGTCAACAAAGGAACAAGACTATTTGACCTACTTGTGGGGAGGCAGAGTTTATTTATGAAAGAATGCTATGCTTAGTTGTACAAACCAATTACTGTCACAACTTTTTCCAAGTATGGTAATATACTTTGACATAAATGAGTCTTGTTTCTCATACCAAAGAAGGTAAAGAAGAGGTGAGCGTGTTTTTTAGACTCTTACCAGTGTTCTCTATGGTAGACAAAGTGTGTTTGACTGTGTATCATTTTGTTTGAATCAATGATAATTTCTCTTTGATAAATTATTGAGTTTAAATTGTGATAGAATATCTAACTTTACTTTTAAAAGTTTAGTATACATGTTAGGGTTTGTATAAACCTCAATTTTATAGGGTGCCCCACTTTGTCTTTTCAAGTAAAAACAAAGATTTCATATTCAAGTTATTTTTATTCCATTTTTATTGCAAAATGATATTTAATAGGAAATTATCCACAAAAATTGACTGCTTCATTATATTAACTCTTTATTAAACATATTTAAATTAACTTCTAAAAAGCTTTTCCAAGATTTTCATTTAGTAGTGTAATTATCTTTTATAGATGCTAAGAACTTATAATTTTAAATAAATTAGTTTCAAAGTGTATTCATTTTTAGTTTAGATCTCCATATAAAAGCTTGTCCATTTGTGTTAAATACAGCTATATAACTTGTATTTTCTACACAACATGAAAATGTTATCTTTCTAATATAAATTATTAGACCATATAACAATATATTTTCTATCATAAATTACAAGATTCGTATCTTTTTGTATATAAAGAAAACATTCAATACCTTTTCCTGATGTTTCTGTTTCCCATATTAAAATATTTCATAATAGAAAAAATTACAGCTAAATTGTATATATATAATATACATTTGATTTGGTGATTGAAGAAAATCTTCTTTGCTAAGGCAAGTAAAATAAAAACCACTTTTTATACCAGTTTTATGATTAAACAATATTTTATTTCATCTAACAAATTTTAAGTAGTAAATTATTGTTTTAAAACATATTTAATATCATTATCTAGTATATACTCTATATATATATGTATCTACCTTTTATATACTTTATGGATATATGTTATCAAATAAATTTCAACAAAGATTTCAAACATTAATTCAAATTCTTTTTTAGTGATTTACCTTTGAAAGGTATGTAAATACATGTATGTATATACATGTATTACCCTAACTAGGTAATACACTAATTATAGTACTATAGTATATAGACTATCCATTTGAGACATAATCTTGTCCATCCATTCTTATATAAACCCCAATTAATATACTTATTCCTATATTCTAAACACTCACATTAGTGGAGATGAGGGGCATTGCAATTTAGCTTTGAAAGGCAAAGTTTTTTGGTAGTGTTTTGCTCTAGTGTTCAAGATTGTGCTTTTTTGTTCTTATTTCTTCATTCTCTTTTAGATCTAGATTTGTATTAACTTTTTGCAAAATCTAAAATTTTAGTTATTGTTGTGCTTAGATTTGCTCCTTTTTTTTATTTTTTATCTTCATTGCATTCTCTTCTTCTACTATGCCATGTCGTCATCAATTAAGGAGTATGTCACTTAAAGCTGCTAATACTACTCCATTGGATTGAACTTTTGATGCTGTAGGGTGTGATTATGTTGATGTTGCACCCATCCTTGGTGTATTGCCATCTCTAGCTTTCATGAGACGTGATTACACGGTTTGTCTTATCCTTGGTGTTCTGCCATCTCCTGTTTATGTGGAATATGATCATAATATTGATTGGCGAGTTATGGATAATGCATTCCAATTCTTGGAGAATGTTCAAGGATCAAGTTTATGGGAAAACGATGTGTATGAGCTCGAACTTGATTATTATGAAAATAGCTTTGGAGATGAAGTGGAGATTTTGCGAGGTAGGTATCAATATTTCAATTTTCCATCTGATCCTTTCTCTTTCCCTTCTGCTCTTTCCTGACCTTTTCTTATTTCTCGGCTTGAGCCACTTTCTCATGTTCTTAGTATTTCTTCCTCATTTATAGTGTTTTCTTCTCTTAGCACATTGATCATTTATGACTCTCATAATTCTCTTTCTCAATCCAATGTTGAGTGGAGTGTTTTCTATCCTCCTCATATTAATCTTGATGTTAAATGTGTTCATGAAATTGAGAATCTTGCTTTTGTTTCATTGGCAAAATTTTTGATTAGTTCTGTTATTAAGTATTCCTTTGTTCCAAAAGTTGAGTCACTTTGGCTAGAGTTTCGAGTTGAATGTATGTTCCCACTCGTGAGTGCTACTGAAAGCCTTTGCTTTACTATTGCTACTGAGGAGTTTATATATTCCTTTGAGAGTGTGGATGTTATTATTGATTTTCTTATCTCAAATGTTAAGTATATTGAGGAGGTTGAGTGGTGTGAATCTTTTGTTTATATTGTGGTGGCCAAAATATTTTATGATAAAAAATACTTTATTTTCCAAGTTTTAAGCATATGTTCTTTTAATTTCACATTGCAAATTGTTTCTTTATCCACTTTTTCTTCTTTCATAATTGTTTTTCCTCAATTTTTCTCATTTTATCCTTGTTACCCTGACACTTCCAACTTTTTTTTTGAACAATGGGATGTTCATGTGATAACTATTATTTACAGACTTCACAACATCTCATTCCTGCTTGTTCTCATTTTCCTCTTTCTTTGCACCCTGCTCCTTTCAATCCTGGAGAGCCTCAATCACTTTCTCTAGAGCCCCTCTCGAGTTCCCCCTGTTCTGGATCAACACCTCTGCAATATCAGCAGGAGTAATCTCAACCTTGGCGATCAGCTCCTCGATCTCTCCAAACTCCTCCTCAAACTGCTCCTGTTGTGAGATTTCAAGGTGAGTCCACGCCAGCACCTTGAACGCCTCAAATCCATAGTAGCCCATGAAAATGTGGAGGTCCATCCTGCCGGACCTCAACAACACAGGGTCTAGATCCTCCTTGTGGTTGGTCGTGAAGATGATGATCCTCTCACTCCTGCTACAAGACCACAGCGCATCGATGAAATTCAGTAGCCCCGAAAGTGTGACCCTGCTGCTCTCTTGCTCCTTTTTCTTGTTTTTCTTCTCGGACTCTCCATCTTTCTCCTCGGTTTCTTCCTCCGCTGCCGGCTTCCCCCTCTTCTTGAGCTCCAGCGAGCAGTCGATGTCCTCGATCACGATGATCGCCTTGTTGGAAATCCCCATGAGCAGCTTTCTCAAGTCTGCATTGCTCTGCACCTCCGTCAGTTCCATATCGTAGACATCATACTGCGTGTAGTTCGCAATGACGACTTCCCAGTCCCCAGAGGCCCGTACAAGAGATACCCACGCTTCCAAGCTCTGCCAACCCGCTCAAAGAAATCCTTTCCAGCTTTGAACGAGTCCAGGTCCTGGATGATCTTGTTCTTGAGCTTGGGATCCAGTGCCAGGCTCGAGAAAGTCGAGCCATGCTTGAAAGGCACCGGGGGTAGAATGCACAATACAGCACCCCCCTTTATTTAGGGTGGCCCCATTTGCTTATTTGGATTTGCATTGCTTACATGCTCATTACTATAAATTAAAGATTGTTCTAGTATATTATTTTCAATAATTTTTAAGTATTTAAAAGTACAAAATAAAATATACTATTTATTATAATATAATAGCATTATCTTGATTGTATAGCTTAATATAATGAGTGAAGTTAATTGATTCAACCACTCCAACCCAACAATCACTATATATAATTGTTCCTAAAAATTTAATTATAATTACTAGTTAATTCTCTCAATAAGATCAGAGAAAGAAAGAATACTATCTTGACCATGATTTACATATTCCAATCTAACCATAATACTAAAGAGAATGAATAAAATAAGAAAGAAAATATAAGGAGTACAAATATAAAACACAATGAGGAAAAACGTAAACCAATCACAAGTTATATACTTATAAATTATAGCCGTTCATTCACTGGCTAATTATAAAATTATAGTCGTGTTAACAACATTTACTAGTTAAAGTTTAACGTTACTAATTTAAAGTTAGTCGTTAAACATTTAGGGTGCAGAGCTGGGCGTGACTAAGCGCGCCACGGAGGAAGCGAGGAGTGAGCGTGGCAAAGGGGCAACCACGTAAGAGAGAGGGGTGCTGTATTATGCATTTCTCCCTGTCCCTGTAGATCCACTCGCGTGAGTTTGCCATGTTGGTGTAGGGCTGCCGGTCTTGGTTCTGTCGCTTCAAGCTCTCCCCGAGCTTGATAACTTCCCTTGTGTACTCAGGCAAGAGTGTATACGTGTGCCTCCTGTGAACTTGGACAACGTACTCTCGGTGTGTTCCTCCACTTCGATCAAAATAGCTGAAGCCTCCACGGTTGGACGGCTCGCTGACATTGCAGACCCAGGAGAATGTCACCCCTTTGAACTTGTCCTCCACTCGCTCGCCCCTGGCGAGGTTGCAATTCGGCTTGCTGGCGTTCTTCACTCATGTGAACTGGATCCTGTTTGCCGAGCTCTTGGTGTTGGTTTTGGTGAGATGTGCAACGTAGAGGTCGACCAGGTCGTAGATCTCGTTGCTGTTGTTGCAGACGTATTCGGGAATTGAGAGTGCTGTCTCCCACCAGAGTCAGGATACCAGCCTCCTGAGCTTGAGCAACCGAGAAGGAACTTATCTGCTTGAGAATCATGATAAAGCCCATGAGGGAACCGAGATGGGCGAAGTAGCCGCCTGCCATCTTGCTCTGTTTCTGCTGCTGCGAGAATGAGAAAACTACCCAATGATTTATTTCACACCCACTGACCACCAAGAGCTGCAAGTGCTGTGAGGCTGTAGCACCCGCTTCGGCCAGGCCAGCATCTTCTTCCTGACAAAACCACCCAACAGCAGCCAAGGAGCAAGGAGGACAAATGCTAGCGGCGGAGCACATATTGGAAAATGTCAAGAGCCCTCCATCTCCCAAGGCATGGGCTACCAAATCTTGCCTTCTCCATGCTCTACGAGGAGAGAGAGAGCTGCCTTGTGAAACCTTAGTATCCATGTTGGATTGTAGTGAATCTTTCAAAAGATCCTTCCCAACAGAATAAGTTTAATACTCCTGGTAAAATATTCTTTTAATATTCTTAGTTGCCTGGTGAATCTTTCGAAAGATCCTTCCGAAAAGAATATAATATTCCTAGTAATAAAAAGACCTTTGAACCTATTGGGCTAATGGATGTGGGATGGGCTCAGCCAGAGCAAATGACTCCGGCGGTGGGATGGGATCCGCGCGTCGGTCTGATCGTGTCCGATTGGTTCCAGAGCAGCATAGGTACCCGATTGCTGAGAGTGGTGGCAGGGGCATTCGAGCGCTTTGGGCTGGAGCTGGATTCTTCAGCAGGGGCGTCGTGGTTCTACGATGTAGATGGGTCGAGTGTGTCGGAGCTCAAGTGGAAGATTTGGACTATGGCAATCGCCCACGTCCTCCGGGTTCCCATCCCGGAGAATTTCTTGCACCTCTTCATCGCTGTGGACTATTTCATGCGCCAGCGAGGTCGCTCCAACCAGCAACGTTATGGTGACCGGAAACTGCTGCCCTTCGTGCTCCCTTGCCACTACGCTGTACTCAAGCTTGAAGAGGTGAGTTCTCGAGATTTCTTGTGGGAAAGCGGTAAAAGAGCTTTTTTCTATGGTCGCAGCTCAAGGAGAGAGACATTCAGACGCCAGCCACCGACGCGATGTCTTCAGAGGAAGGAATTACACGTATGGCTTCTCCTTTTTCCTTTTCACTTTCTAACCAGTCGCCTGTGCAGATCTTGTGTCGCTCATGTCTAGAGTTCCCTGTACTTTCTCGACGCGAACATGTCTTCTGGATGCCATGCGCCTGTTTGATGTGAGCGAGCAACTCTGCGTGCTCTTCTTCGCGTGGTTGCAGCTCCAGGTCCAGGTAAACAAGCAGCCGCTCGAATGGCTCGACGCTTTCCTAGCTCAAGCCAAAGCTGGCGGCGGGGGGCACCTGGGCAACGTCTTGCTCTTCTTCCTAGACACGGTGCACGCATGCAGATTTAAGGGTTTCTATCTGCTACCCAGGGAGAACATCGACAGGGTCTTTAATGTTTGCATCAAGGAACTCCCGATGGTAGAGTGGCAGTCGATCGACCTCACCCCCGGCGTCCGTCAGGTGTTAGAGGTAAAATCCTTAGCTCGACTTGCAAAACACAGATGAGACTCTTAAGGCTTCTTATTCTTTCTTTTTTTAATTGTTATTTTATTTTGGCAGGAGGTGGACGCAGAAGTGACGCACAAATTCGAGTGGGACAAAAGCCTTCTTTTACCTCTGGAGCGTTGGGTGCATAGGAGGTCGCTCGTTTACCAGCACAGGCCTCGCGAGATTCCATACGTTATGGACTTTACGGATGCAAGCTTGCAAATTGGCCGTCTGATCTACACTTGGACATTGACGAAGAAGGGGCAGCGGGACCATGCCGAGCTCCAGACGCTGTGCTCGACGGGCAAGTCGATCGTGGAGCACGCACAGTCGGTGCCAGTGGGAAGCAGCGACGAGCGCCAGCTCTACCGTGCCGCCGCTGCCGTTTTCGGCAAGGATCTTAGCGGCCATTTCGTGCAGCTATGCAGGAACGCGCAGTGGGAGCCGGATGGGGTCCCTTGCTCGCAATCCGAGCTGGGAGAAATAAGGGAGCTGGCATGGAGAGGGCTGATTTTAATCTTCAAATTCCAGTCCAGAGTTCCGGAGCATTACTTTGACGGCGGCCCTAAACAACTGAGAAACAAAGTGCCGTTCGGTGCCATGATCGTCTACATTGTTCACGTACGCACAGTGTTTTTTCCGTTGGAATGTGTTTCTCAAAAAAAATTTCTGTTTTCTTTTTGTGTTGTTTTGCGCAGGTAATATTTGAGGATCACTTGGCTCTAGACATTGACTGCAAAACGTGGACAGAAGAGTGTGAGTGAATTATCTTTGCTTGGTGGAAGTATTTACTAAAGCTGTTTTTGTAGGCCACATGGCTCTAAATAGTCACCCAAATCGTGCTACAGTTCGGAACAAGAGTGGGATTTTTGTTGCATCAGATGGGACTAGGAAGAGATGTCTAGCTCTTGAGAAGTTGATAGAGTCTCCCAAAATACAGAGGGCCCTGGGAGCCAGCGCTGATGAAATACGCGATGCTATGGTCAAGGCGTTTGCAGCAGGTGGTATATATTTTGATCAGGAACACAGAAATTTATGGTTTAAAATGGGCAAAATATTCAGAGGGGATTATGCGAGGCTCTCTGCATATATTATAGCATATGTAATTTTCAAAGGATTAATTTAAACAATATACTTATCTGTCATTGGTCTCATTCTATGAATGGATAAAATTATGTTTCGAATCTTTTTGTGAAAAGCATAAGATTGAGCCTACATTTAAAAGCCTCTAAACAATGCCGACGCATTCATTCGGCCATTGACGAGGAGTCGCCATCTCCAGTCGAAATCTGACCCAAACCCCGCGATCTAGGCTTGAAAGAAGGTGCCACGGAGGGGAATCAAGTTCAATTGCATTCCTCGAAAGAAGGTGCCAGGGAGGCGAATCAAGAAGGGTTCAATTGCATGGCTTTGGTGAATGTCAGGCTGATGCACTGTGGAGATGGCGGCGAACTGCCTGGCCTGCCTTCGAGTCGTCTCGCGGGCGGTGAAGGTGGTGAGCCCTCTTGTGCGTCCTAGTGCCTCCTTTGCGAAGGAGAAGCATTTTGAGCTTGGATTTAATGTCTCTCTGTACCACTTGTTTAATCTCCTTTTGTTCTAGGTGACATAGCATGGACTTGTCGTGCAATATACACTAGACAGCTTTTCTGCTTGAGTTGCAATGAATGAGTGCGTGCCACGTGATGGAGCTCTGAATACTATGGTATCATTTAGGCAAGGATCAAGCCTACAGTGATTCAGGATTTACCGCAATTTCAAGAAGCTGGACACCACATTTCACGCAGTGTTTATGCTGATATGTCTGTTAGAAATTTCATAAGGCACCATCAATAAAGGGATTCTCAAGTTGGAGACAATCTTAGCCATTCTTCAACATTGCTGCTGTTACACATTACATATTCTTTCTCTTTCTGACAAAAAACTTAAATAACTTTAAAAACCATAAGTTATAGTACAACCTGGAAAATATAGATGTCATCATTTTTTATCTATCTTATATTTTGTTTTGGCAGTCTTGTGGTGCCCAACAAGAAGCATGAGACTGCAAACAAAGAATTACCTGGAAAATACAGAGGTCAAGCATTTTCAATGCCAGATAAGGCATGCAATTCCTAAAAGGATAGTAAAGATATAGATAGATTTCACACCCATATGATGTTTTTCTATTGAATGAGCATTAAAGCTTCATCCCATGGTAATAGATAGCACATGCATTGTTCTTGATGCCAGTACAATAGGTGGATGATCCCTAGTCTATCAAGTTAGATGCCCTGTCATTCAGTATGTTGGCATTAGATGTGGAAGGTAACATAATTTGCTCATGATTGGTTTGAATCATTTTTGCTAGTAGTGTAAGAAGTGGCATTAAATCACTTTTAATTTGCTCTCTATACACATCAAAGTTCCTACCATATACAAATTTATTTCAAATTTGTATCAGTAAAACCTATCCTTCCAATTTACTAGAAGAGGTGGAGGAAGAGGAGGAGGATGGCCTTTCATCCAGACTCAAATTGTAGTTCAAGTGTCAATAGTGATAATGTTGTTGTCCTATAGATTCTATTATTTTCCAACCTTTTAAATTCAATTCATTTACACATTTTCAGGCCTTTTGTCATTTTTTGCAATTGAGGGGATTCAGTAGTCTAGCTGCATTTGGCACCTAGATCCACTTAAATTTGAGACTAAGACCATTGTGTACCTCATATGCTATCTTAAAATTTCAATGCCATCATTGTATAAATATATGTGGCAAATTAGAAAGGTGTATATTATAAGGTGCTACCCAAAGAGGTACTTCATCACATTCACACTAACAATGTTAAGGAGATTATCAAATTTTGATATAGTTGTCAACCTAAAAGATACTAGTTTAGCTGATACCAAATTTGTGAGCCTTATTCACTCACAACATAACCAAATTGCAATAGAGGCATTTCAATTTTTTGCCTTAGCATATTGTAAACTTATAAGCTATGGTTTCTATGTATATGCCATTATTTTTGGTGCAACTCATTATATT